GATAGTACTAGATTGGCAGTTAGGTCTCATCTTTTTACTGTTAAAATTGCTAAATATAAGCATAAGTTCTATTCAAATAGTTTCTTTTCTCACACTTCTCACCTGTGGAACTATCTTCCAGCTTCTTGCTTTTCTAACAATTACAATCTTCAAAAATTTAAATGCAACATCAATTGTTATTTTCTGTCTCCTGAAATCCTGTTCTTATCCTTGTCTTTTCTCCTCAGTAATATTTTCTCAGTTTTCTTCACTCTCAGTAACCTTGTGTCTTAACGACTTTATCACTTTGCTTGAGGTGAAATGATTAAAAAATCTATATTGAATCCTAATAAATAAAAATTAAACTAGAATCTTCTTTTTTTGATTACCTGGCCTAATTAACATAATAAGCCTCTTTTTTAAAATCAGTTTTCTTGTCTCGAGTTCTTTGTGAAAATCACCACACAAATCAATATAACTTATTAAAATAAATAAATGTTGTTAGGTAATCCTAATCCTCTTAGTGCAGGAAGAAAATTCATAAATAATTTTTATATGTTGTTATTAGTTTATGCAATTTATAAGCACCATGTTGAACAAGACTGTTCTTTATCATGATAAATCAAAGATTATGTGCATTTAATAAGTACATAGAAAAATATCAGATGGAAAATACTGAAAACAAATTTTTATTGACAATTCATTTTAATTCATTGAGCTATGAATTGAGTGCAGTTTTGAAGATAGTTTATCTGCTTATCTGCAGAATTTCCTCATGAAATTTCATAACAAAGCTCACTGAATCAATACCAACTTTCATATGCTAAATTTCATGACGAGCATGCCCATTAGAAATTGATCTTTTTATTAATCATCTTAGAGGCCCCTTTCTACCTTTCATTGGCATGGCTGATGCTAACCTCTAGGTGAGAGACTTGTGTGTTCTTGGGCTAATGTTCTCTACTGACACAAAGTGAAAAGATTATATTGAATCAGTTACTTGGCTTGCTGCTCAGAAAGTTGGTTCACTGTGTCATGCTAGATATTTTTTATCTCCAGAATCTTACATATAAGTCTAACAATCATCTATACTTTGAATATTGCTGCCACATATGGTCTGGCACTCTCTACTATATATTTAGAGATACTTGCTTCAAAGAAGAATCTGCAATGTTATCAGTCCTGACCTGGCATCTCGACTTCAGTTACTTTCCCACCAATGTAACATAGCTTCCCTGTGCCTTTTCTATAAATACTTTCATGGTAATTGTTCTGATGAATTTTACTCTATGGTACCTAGATTTTATGAATTTAAGTGCAGTACTAGATTGGTAACAAGCTCTCATCATTTTACTGTTGAACTGGTTAGATGTAGCCATAAGTTCTAACAGTTTCTTTTCTTGCACTTCTCTCCTGAGGAACACTCTTCTGGTTTTATTGCTTTCCAACCAACTCTGATCTTCAAAGATTTAAATGCAATGTCAATTGTTATCTACTGTCTTTTTTATTTCTCTTCTTTAATTGTTTTGGCCCCTTAATGTTTTCCTTTTTCTTATTCTTTCACACACAGTAACTCCTTGTGTCTTAATTATTTATTGCCTTACTTGGGGTGAAATGATTAAAAAAAATATTCTTCCTGCTCTCTGCTTAATTATATTATACTAGAAATACTCATGAAAATTTCTTGGTTTTCCTGTTTGAATTTTCTGATGAATCATAATTCTTAATTTAATGATTGAATAAGATCCTTGTGATTTCTAGGACTATAAAATACTCATAGATATTCCCATTACATTGATAAATTTTGTGCTTTACAGCTTTAACAAAATATTGCAATAACAAACGTAAGTATGAATGCAGATCATTATTTAAAGAAGAGGGTACAAATGAAAAGAAAAAATTGACAAGGTTTTCTATTTCACTGATGCAGACATTAAATGCATGAGAACATTATCACTTCCTTTATCTTCCCCTTGTTTGTTTGCTTTTCTCTTTCTTTCTTTGTATTCTTTATTTTTCTCACTAAAACCAGTGTAATGACAATATAATGAATGCATGAACTTACTAATTATCAGAGGAACAAATATAATTATAATATGATTATCACATTATATTATAGCAAATATATAAGGTAATTTGGAAAATTTCTACTTTGATATTGTTCACCAATAAATTGGCATTATCAGAAAAAAAAGGAAAATAATTTCATTTCACATGAATAAAATCTACATTAGCAAGACAAAAACTTGATTTATATTAAGGATCTGAATGCTTGATTTTTATTTTAACTGTATTGATTTGTCTCACAATGCAGATTTTATTCTTGTGAATTAAAATTCTTTTGCTGATGATGCTGGTTTATCAGTGAAACATGCCAAGGTAGAAGTTTTCTAAATTATTTTATATATTTACTATTCCATTGTATTCTCATCCAACTTTACTTACATGTTATAATGTATCAATGTACATTATTTGCTGGTGTATGTGTATAGTGTGATTGTTGTAATTGCTTCAATGATATGCTTTATCCTTTTTTTGTCAGATGTTATGTTGATGCCAAGTTGATGCTTGTCCAAAATTTTCTTATAAGCAGTCTTATAATTTGAAGATAACAGATTAATTAAATTAGGTCTTGTTGAGTTGAGACTTTTAGATATTCCCTCCCCACTCCCCAGTGCATGCTGAAAGAAATATGTGTCAGAGATTTCAAACATCAGAGATGGTCAGTGAATCTTCATTAATGATTAAAGTCTTTTCTCAACCATAGATTTTACCAGGGACCAACTATTTAAAAGTCTTTACTCAACCACAGATTTTTACTATGGACCAAATACTAAAAGTTTTTTTCTAACTACCTTTTCTTCTGGACTCAACTAAAGAAACAACTTTACTCTTTTTTGACTCTTTTGAATTCATGTACATATTTTTTTTATCAATTCACCAATAATGTTACTAAGATGCAAGTGGCTACTGGGAGTGAAAGAAAATTAAAAAGATTTTAAAAGGAATTTGGAAACTTAATCCTAAATAGGAAACAAAGGGAAGAGTGTGAACCTATCTATTCCTATTCTGTTTCTAAATACAAATGTTTTATTTAATAGGCATACTCAAGTTTTCTTTATTTTTATCATATTATTTTTTGCAATTTCGACATTTGGATTTTTAATACAAAAACCTGGATGACAGAATTTCTACAATATCTTTTACAGAATTGCTTCACTTTAAGGTTTAAGGTCTATCACTGTGAACTGTGCCATTCAAAAAATGTTTCCTCGAAAAACTTCCAATAATTCTCTGCATATATCTTGATACCATCATCACATTTGCAGTGCGATGAACAAGCCTTGAGTTGCTTAATAAAATCTTAATTCACCAAATAAGTTAGTGTAAATGTTTGTAATAAAAATATATATTATAACATGAAATACACATCATACATTTATCTTATAAATATGATAATATTGAGAAAATTTTACCAACATCAGATGTTATTGTGAAAACATTGACTTGCATAATCAAATCCGATATAGTGTAGGCTTGAAACACAATTTCTGAAAGCAATAGAAAATGCTTAACAGTTTTTCAACCATGAAATAAACCATAAATTTTTGACTTAAATTTAACCAATGCAGTTGTAAAAGTAAATTATTCTGTTTTTTCATCATGGCAATTTGCTTTTTTACAAAAAAGGAACTTTGCAAAAAAGGAACTTTTACAACTAAATGTTGTAAGTCAACCTCACAAGCTATACAAAGAATGGTGACAAAGATCAATAATTCCTTTGGTTTGACACTATTTAGGCCCAAATGTAAAGCAATATTCATTTGTCTGGAATGTTAAAATGTACTTGAGAGTGTCAGCTGTCAGCTAAATTAGTTTTCCAGCAATAATATCTTTTGCCAAAGTTCATGTTTAAACTAAATAAACAGATTCTGTTGTTGATATTACAGGCTTGTATACCATATATAAATAAAAGCTTATTTCCATGTCTTATAGTTAATACTAAGACCCTGTTTGTCTGTTTTGTATAAATTTATCATGCAAACGTAAAAAGATATTTAATAAAAACAACTTGTCATACTGTCTATAACAGCAAAATTATCTAATTGTTAGATTAAGCTCTGAAACGTTGAATCTTAGAAATGATTAAAGATATCTTACTGGAATTCTCCAAAGTTTTTATAACACTATTGAAATCTTTGATCAATAAGAATGTATACTTACTCTCTAAGCTTAACAGAAGTATTGTGATGAAATTGATAATAACCGAAAATGACATTTTCATCATTAATTGATCATAAACGAAAATGACATGCTCATCATTAATTAATCATAGCTAAGGATACTCATGAAGTATTGAAATAAAGTTCAAATATATATATATATATATATTATTCCAGGATCATTTTCCAACTTATTCAAGATGATCTTCACCCTTTCTAACCTTCTAACTTTCTGTCCAGTAAAAAAGTACATCACACATTTCACAGATGATACCATTTTCAAGTTTTTGTCACTACTCTTTGGACTGTCATAGATGAAACTCCTCCCTCACACCAAACGTCTTATGAAATGAGTTGGATTTTTTCTAATTGATCTCTTTAGCTCTAAGGTGAAATGATGATCCATCTTCCTGTTGTGACCTCCTGATCCAGTTTTTCTCGCTACTGTTCCCTCTTTTTATTCTTATTCTTATTCACCATTCTCTTGATGGTTCTTGAATGGACTTTGAAGATGGAAGCCAGAGTGTGAATGTTGGTATGATTACTGTAGGCCTGAATGATCTTTATCCTTTCACCATTGCTCAGTTGGGAAGACAGTGGGTCTGACACAAAAGTTTTAATCTGCTCTCTTTTTAGCTGAATAACTCAAAGGGTTTTTCAGTGATTCTTACAAATGGCATCAAGATGACTGAACGTCATCTGAAAACCTGGAAAAAGATACTCAATTAGTTTAGTGTTTTTTTAGATATTAAAAATTTTGTGGGTTGGATAATTATGCTGTTATATCTGGTATATAATATGCATTTATCTCAGGCCCTTCATATCTATCTTTCTATTCATCTCACTTTATTAATATCTATCTATCTATCTATCTATCTATCTATCTATCTATCTATCTATCTATCTATCTATCTATCAGGATATTTGTTTAAGTTTAGAACAAAGAACTAAATTTAATATATTTTGTTCCAGATCACATATGGGGCACACATTAAGAATTAAACTTTGTGATCCAGAATTTCTTCAGTTCTCTGACCAGTTGTAGGAACTTATTCAGCTGTTATCTTTCTTTCAATTCTACTCTGTCATCTGCTGAAACAGTGAAATCCACAATCTGATACAGTTATTCTTTCTTGTTCATTATAAGTGAACCTGATATTTATGCTTGTATTGGATACTTTATTGGAATCTTAAATTCCTATCAGATTTTTACATTTTTCTTTAAGACAGATTCTGGTTTGTGCATATACCAATGGTCAAAGAAGTGTGATTTGAACAGTACCCTGTGGATTACCCTTCTCACAAAATCATGTCTAATTTTGAACTCTTTATGAACTTACTTGATACTTTCATTTATTATGTGACTGATTATTTCATATTTATCTCTGCATAGATTGAATTTGTGAAGAGCATGTCATGTTTATAGCTATCAGAACAGAAATAGGAATGGGTGAACCAAGTTCAAATTATGGCTTAGTCTGTTACATTCACTTTCGCACTAATGTCCTTAGGAAAGGCATGAATCCATCTTTTCTCTCCATCTTCTATGGGTTAAATAGCAGAAATAATTGATCTTTACTCCAAGTTCCAAACAGTGGAGAAGTGGAACCACTCCACTATCTTTATGAAGAAAGCATGGCAATTCAGTAATAATTAATAAAAGGAATCTGTGGAGAGCCATGTCCACCTATGTCATATTATATTCTCCTGTGTTTTATCTATATTGGTCTTCATATAATTGGTTCTTCTGGTTTTGTTCTTGATCACTATAAATAGCAATTCAATTTCTCTACAGTTTATCTTCACACCAATGTCCATGTTGTTTCATCTTTAAAAAACGGAGTCAACCATAGATCATCGAATCAATGCGAATGATCCTTTCCTTAGCTGCATAGTATGTCCTTTACTGGGGCTACATACAGTTTTGAATTCAGAGTTTTCCTTCTGCTAGACTGGTTGCCACCCTTAGCTATAGAACCAAGTTTGTCATATTATTTGTACATAGCTAGGGGGAGAAGAGTTGGATTCATACCTTTCCCAAGGGTATTAGCATGTAAGTGAATGTAATGAACTTGACTGGAATTTTAAATCGGCTCTCTGATTCCTCAGTCTGAGTCACAATTCATTACTCTACTGTGCCTCATATTTAATACTTTCAATTTATATTTGTTTGTATGGTTATTTGTCTTCTTATTTTTGGATTCACTGTTTATTCTATTAATTATATTACACATTTTAAGTGTTGTAATTTGGATGAGAATTTGGATGAGTCTAAGAGAAGGAAAACTCTGAATTCTACACCATGGAGTATATAACAGTAATCACTCCACTATCTAAAAAAAAATGATAGTAGTTTACAAGTTATAAAAATAGGAGTCTGGGAAGAGCTATGACTGAAAAATCAACACAATTTTTGATATTGATAAGGTTTCTTCCATTTTCATTTCATATATAATTTGTCAACATTTTTTCTTGCATGAAAAGTTTTATGCATTGTCATCAGACTTCTTGTTTTGTGGCCTGGATTTCTGAGTTCTTCTTTTGTGCAGTTTAAGAAATGTCCTGAATATCTCATAATAAAAATGACCAAGGTATTTATTTTTTGATCAAATTCTGATTCTGAGCAATTCTTTGTCACCAATTGCCTTCATTTTGTTCTATTTGATTATAGTAATTCCACAATAACCAAGTACTTGTGTTTCTTTCCTGTTGAGCATTCTGATGATTTTTTGTTTAGGTATTATAAATTTTTCTGTTGTTTGATATTTTCTCTGTCTACTGAATTTGTTTATTAGCTTTTAGATAAGAACTGTGAGGCTTGGGCTGTGGCTTTAGATATCTTGAAGGTATCCAACAGGGTTTGGCATGCTGACCTTCTCCATAAAGACTATGCTGTCTCTGGATAAATATTTGGCGTAATCCATTCATTCTTAATAAATCATGTAATGAAGGTTGTGTCAGATGGATACACTTGTAGATCATTTCACTGGGATCTATTCTTGGACCTATATTATTTCTTATCTTCATCAACAATCACCCCCAATGTCATCAGTTCACAACTAGGTATTTATGTTGGTGACACAACTATTTACTCCTGTCTTAGTTGCAAGTCCAATAGGTCTAACAAAATAAAACTGGCAGCTGCACTTGAAAATGACCTCCAATCAGTGCTTCACTGGTGTAAGGAATGGCTTGTAAATTTGAACACCTCCAAAACAAAACTGCTATCATTTAATCACCACAGAGAACCTTTTCTGCCTTCTGTTAGTATGGCTGATGCAAACCTCCAAGAGAACAACTCTGTGCTTTCTTAGGCTCATGTTTTCTGCTAACATGAAGTAGATTCATTATATTGAATAAATTACTAGGTCTACTGCTAGGAAAGTTTGTTCACTGTATTGTGCCAAGCAATTTTTCTTATTAGAATACATCTTGGACATTTATAAATCTACCATTCATACATGCATTGAATATTGCTGGTGAAACTGATATAGTGTGCCTGCTATATATCTTTAGGTTCTTGACAAAATCCAAAGAAAGTTCTGTAATGTAATCAATCCTGACCTGGCATCTTGACTTCTGTCACTTCCTCACCAACTTGAAATGGCTTCCTTCTGTCTCTTCTACAAATATTTTCATGTCAATTGTTCTGATGAGCTTTCCTCTTTAGTGCCTTGAGTGCATGAATTTAAGTGTATTACTAGATTGGAAGCTGGGTTTCACTGTTTTATTGTTGAACTAGCTAGATCCAACCATATGTTTTATTCTAGTAGTTTCTTTTCTTACACTTCTTGCTGCCTGTGGAACTCTCTTCCAGTTTTTTACTTCCATGCCATCTACAATCTTCAAAAGTGTAAATGCAATACTAGTTACTATCTTCTGTTTTCTTGAAACCTGTTCTTTTATTGTCCTTACTCCTCACTAGTCTTCTGATTCTCTTCCACTCCTAGTAAGCTCCTTGCTTTTTAGTGGCATTATTGCCTTGCTTGGGATGATTAAAAGAAAAAGAAAATCTCTAGTATTACACACTTCTCAATCCCAAACTACATTGTGCTATCTTGGCTGAAGATCCCAATTGTTCTTGCGAAGATCTCTAATTTGTTTTTGTTTGGGAAAAGATTTTGATCACTAATATATTTGTAGTGGGCCATTTTCCTTATGATTTCATAAATTTGTGTCCTCTGTTATATTTTCATGAAATATAAGTGATATTGGTGATTAAAAACTTGCTTGTATCCATAGTTTTTATTGTTTAGTTAATGTAAAAGGAGGATTAAGGACATACAGAACAGAAGGGGCACCAGAGAGTCTCCTTGAAAGATTCCTCATTGAAAATTCAAAGAAATGGAAGTGGCAGTGATTTAGGAATAATGTGGTTGGATGACCAGTAATACAGTGAGCTAGAGAAAAACAATAATAACAAAAATTGTAATATGAGCTCTGTTAAAAAAAATGAGACATTAGGTTTATAAGTTCCAAAATTTTGTACACCGATGTCTCCAAGGACACATGAAGCAGTGGATAATAGCATTGGTTGAAGTAATCCAGTGACTTGACCCAAAGAGTTGTGAGTTCAATACTTGGCAACTTGGAGAGTAAAGTTACTCAAGGAAAATAATTGAAACTGAGATGACACATGGAACTAGAAATCTACAATCTACGTAGACTAAATAATGGGTTTGGTTCCAATCCAACCAGATGATGAGCCTGGACAGGGTGAGTTTATTCAGGGACAGACTGACCTCAGACTCATCCCTTGGAGAACATAGTATACAAATGGATAACCATGGTGGACTAATGGATAGCAGCTCGGATTGTGGAATTGGAGAGCCGAGTTTGAATTCCAGTCAAATCCATTACATTCACTTATGTGCTAATTCCCTTAGGAAAGGTATAAATCCTCTTCTTCTTCCTCCAGCTATGGGTAAATAGCAGGACAGACCGGATTTTATAGCCTTGGATAGCAACTGGTCTACTGCTGAAAGAAATGGCAACCTACTGCAGGAAAAAATCTGCCTTGTTAGTCATGGATCGAAAGATACATGATCACCTAAGCATGTATCATGCATGGCACATAACTGACTGACTGATGGAGATGCTGACTTTCTGTGCACAAATAATGTATTTCAGAATGAAATCAGAAATGTATCGGTATGAAAATATAGTAATGTGTTCGTTGTTATCACCAGCAATGGCTAAAATATACATGAGGCTGAGATACATAGATGACACCTTCTGACCTACTACTGGAACATATGAACTCATTGATATGGAGAGGAAACATCAACAAACTAGCATTCCTGCGTGTACTAATATCTCAAACGAAGCATGGGGTCAAGACATCTGTATACCACAAGCCAACATTCACTGAACAATAACTCAACTTCAACTCCCACCACACACTGTAAAGAAAGGGATCATCCACTGCCTACAACATCGTGCAAAAGTCTTAAATCATGACCCAGAGACATATGAAGAAGAAATAGTCAGTATAAGCAGTACCCTACAATGTAACAACTATCATCATGACATCAGCTCCCACAAAATGGGATAGAAGGGTACAAGAGGATAACAACACTCAGAAAATAGTCTTGGTCTGCCTATCATATATGAAAGGATTATCAGAAAAAATGCAAAAGATTTGTGGTACATATAAAATCAGGATGACCTTTAGAAGTGGTTCAACACTATGCAGATACCTCTTCTGAGTAAGACCTTCCAAAGAGGAGAACATGACTAAAATATGTGTGTACACCATCTCATGCAGCTGTGGCAAGAACTATAAAGGAGAAACAGTTAAGATAAGACTGTAGGAGCACCATGATGCTGTAACATGAGGGGAAATAGAAAAATTATGCATGGCTGAATATATATGGAGGGAAAAAGAGATCACCACCCTCTTTCAGATGAAGTTGTAATAATAGACAGAGAA